TTGGAAGTTCCCTAGGGTTGGTGTCACCCGGGGCGGTAACACTTGGTGTCACCCCTCCGACGATCCCCGCAGGATGGATCGGATCTGCGGATTGAGCATAATGGATCGGAGTCCGATCCATTATGCCCCACAATCCGCAGATCCGATCCATCCTGCGGAGATTGTCAACTTGTAACCTAAACAGGGTTGACTGATCTTTCCACAAGCTCCACTAAAAGGAAAATTTTAAAGCAAGCCGACGATCCCCACAAGATGGATTGGATCTGCGGATTGGGGCGCATAATGGATTGGACTCCACCAACCCTAGGGATGCCCCTGCCACTATCTCCCTCAGAACGTGATTCCAGGTCACTGTTTAGTGCTAGTTAGTTTAGTCCTAGCTAGATGCTTCCAACTTGTTTCATGTTCCCTCAGTCAGTTTTAGTTATTCACAGAGACAGGGCTCATTGGGGTTGTCATTGGGGTTGATTTACTAAAACTGGAGCGTGAAAAATCTGGTGCACCTGTGCATGATAACCAATCAGCTTCTAACTTCAAATTTTTCAATTAAGCTTTGATTAAAAAAACAAAACAAAACTGGAAGCAGCATTTGAAACAGAACTGGACTGTTAAAGTGCAATATATACATTTTTTGTTTCTGATTTTATATATGATTTAAGTAGAGTCATTAGGTAGTCTAGCATTGTCAGGTAAGGTTTTAATATTGGCAACTAGATATTTGTGTCCCATAAACCTTTGCACATTAATTATTCTAGGGTGGGGACATAATACAACACACTGTTCTTTTTTATATACCTATTTTATCTGTCATTAACAATACGTACCAGACAATTGTAAAATTAGTCTACTCTCCTCTGACATGGCAGCGGCACAGCACTAAGCACATTTTTTTCTAGTGTTACATTTGCCATACACTAGTAGGATTTCATCTGATGTTTTCCTGTTTTTTTTAAATTTTCTCAAAAAAAAAGAATTTCTAACAGTGACTCTGGTTTAAGTTTGGGAAAGTTCATTTACTCCAAAAAGCAAACATTTCTGAAGTACTTTAGAAGGTAATTTGCCAAGTCATCAGATGTACTGATGAAAATTTTAGTACAAATGTTCATTTGAAAAACTGCTAGTATACGGACTCAGGAATACTGCTTTTGCGCTAACCCTGTTTGACAGATACATCAGCCAATCATAGAGCAATACCTATAATGGCAATAAGGAAAGGTGGTAGCCATTGCACTGGCAATAATGAAGCACTGCACATTTCTACTGATAAAGAGGAGGGAGGAAGAATAATGGACACCTTGGTGTCAATTGCGCACACCATGGGCAGCTGACGTTCAGCAACATTTGCACAGAGTATCTATAAATATATTGTGATATGGGGGGTGTTATCTTAGTGGTGGATGCATTTTTACAGTGAGTCCATGTCAAAGGGAGTCATAGTTAGGGGCTTGGTAGCCCACTTTTATTAACTGAAAATAAAAATGTCAATCCAGGATTCCCATCCAGGGATTTTAACTTCATTCAGCAAACACCAATGAAAAATACTGAGCCACCTGGCTCTCTGGTCAGCAGTCACTCTGCTTATTTGGTCTCCCAGACCACTGGCTATTCAAGCTCTTTCAGCCTAGGTGACAGCACCTTGCTGTTCAGACTCAACATGGCCTCTTGGCAGAGTTTTCATAGCACCTCAAGCATGCTCCCACCAGAGACTTCTGAATTTCCTCCAATCCCCTGGACTTACTGGCCTCCTCAGCTTCTTCAGTTTTCCCAGACTCTCTCTTGGTCTCCCAGACTCTTGCAGCTGGTTAGTCTTCCTGGTCCTTGGGAACAGAAAGCCCCTCACAAGGGTTGCAGCCTCCCACAGGAACTCCCAGCTCTCCTGACGGGATGCTGTCTCCAAACAGCAGCAACTGCACAAACCCCAGCTCCCACCACCTCCTACTGTTCTCACCAATCCATCATTATAAGGGCTGTGTGCACCTGGGCATACATTCTGCTGGTTGTCCACAACACCCAAACATTGGGTTGGAGATTCCATCCCACCCAAGACTCTTTGGAATCTCCAAATTATAGAGCCCCACCCGTGAAATACCAAAATCCAGAGAAAGCTGCAAGAGCAGTTTTCTCCATTCAAAATACACTTTGTAGTCCTGCACTCAGCAAACACGCAAACATTGTGTCCTTTTCCTGACCATTTCCACAGTGAGAGAGCTTCCCACTGTCACATTATAGACAGTTGGCAACCTTGCTTATAGCCCAAGGCACATCCAAAACTCATATATATGAATTGTTTTAGTTGTCAATGATTTGTAATTCTAACTATTTGTCTTGTGTTTTAGGCATCCTGAAGGATAACTAGGTTTTCAACTTCTGCTGTAGTAGCACAGCTTGGTTAAGAGCAAGCTACCTACCTACTGATTGGACAGTGAAGGAGCAGCAGCATACTGATGAGCTCACTCTACTCCATTCTACTCTCAACATCTCCTGTCAGCTTGATTAGTAGACAGAATCCAGATCATAACACTGGCCATTCTTCTCCCATTCTCAGTGTGTTTATGAGGTTGGTATGAAGACAAAGGCAGTACCTTATATTAACTGAATTTCAAAATATGAGTATATGTAATAATAAAAGTAAAATGCATTAGTTGGTATTTTTTATACGTGGCTGGATTTCAGCTTTAATTTAACTTCAAAATAACCCTTAATGGGGTTCATATGTCCTAAACAGGGGCTACTATTCATATTTAGTTTTGCTGGGTGGTAGTCGGCACAGACTGATTTAGTGTTTACTTTTAATTTGGTTTTCCCTAAACTCTGTGGAGCTATTGTTTCTCTCTGTTGTCAGTAGGTGTCACTGATACCTCTGGCAATACTGTGGGAAGCTACAGTTAAACTGAGTTAGGCTTATTTATGTTTCCCCTGGCCAACCAGTAGAAAGTTTATTGCCAATGGTACATGCAGGGGGGAGAGTATAAATATATGGGAAGGACCATGTGAGCTCTCTCTTCCCCCTGGGCTGTGGCCTGGGGATGGGGGTTGTACAAGAGCCGAGCCTTTGCATGTGCTTGGAGCAGAGGCCTGGGAACAGAAGGGGCCCAGCTGTCCATTGTATCCTATTGCTTGTTGCCTCACAGAGGACAGGAAAGGAAAAGATGATGCCTGAGACGAAGTACCAGAGGCGACTTTGCCTCTTGAGTTCCTGTGGAGGAAGAACTCATAGAGAAGCTGGGTAAGCATCCAGATGGGATCATCGAGGCTGCTGCAACTTGGAAAGATATGGTTGCTAACAGAGACAGCTGCATCTATTAAAGGTATAGGTTGTTGGATTCAACTTAAAGCCCCTTTTCCTGCATTAGTGTCTATTGTTGTAATACTAAGTCTGCAAGTCAATAACGGGTGTCCTAATGTCCCTACCCCTCCCTTTTTTGGAGTTTGTGACTTTATAAACTGATTTTGTTTGCATCTAAAAGTGACTGGTGCCCATCTGTTCTCATTTTCCACTATTGCCTGAGGACTACACCCTTAAGTGTGAAGTGTCAGCTCTTCCTGTCTCTGGGGGTACTCCACATCTGCCTGAGGTTCAGTGGGGCACTACATAAATGAAACTTTACATCTAAACTAGAACTAAAATTTTGAACAAAGGGAGGGTTATAGCTTCTGCTATTTTTCTTTTTGCCAGCTGTGTCCCATTGGGGAGATATCCCTTCACATACTCCAAATGTGGGAATCCCTGGTTGTCAGAGATGAATAAAAAAAGTTGAGTAAAAAAATTCTGAGGCCCCTCACCCTACATATACGCACTTATGAATGTAAATGCATGCGTCGGGGCGCCTACTCATGAACACACATACCAGAAATAAAGCAATATTTCTATCATCGGAGCTCCTGGGTATTGCTGAACTGATGGCCTGTAGGGAATTTTAATACATCACCTATAGAAAATATAGGGTACTGAAGTTTGTTTCAGGGGGCGCACGTAATTTTAAGGCTTGGCATGTTGAGTAAATCGCATAATTTATATTTTAAAAAAAAAAAGAGGGTCATTTATTGCATTTGTGTGCCATAAAATTAACTTTAGTGTATTTTTTACTGAAATTTTGGGTTTCCTAAACTGTTGCGCTACTATAGTGTAACATAAAAAATTGTAACTACAACCATTTTATTCTCTAGGGCAAGGTTTCTCAGCTAGGGTTCCTCCAGCATTTGCTAGGGTTTCCTTGAACAATGAGCAATTTCTGCCTCTATACACTCTATACACTATATTGCCAAAAGTATTGGGACTGCCTTTACACGCACATAAACTTTAGTCCCAGTCTTAGTCCATAGGGTTTAATATTGAGTTGGCCCACCCTTTGCAGCTATAACAGCTTCAACTCTTCTGGGAAGGCTGTCCACAAGGTTTAGGAGTGTGTCTATGGGAAAGTTTGACCATTCTTCCAGAAGTGCATTTGTGAGGTCAGGCACTGATGTCGGACGAAAAGGCCTGGCTCGCGGTCTAATTCATCCCAAAGGTGTTCTATCAGATTGAGGTCAGGACTCTGTGCAGGTCAGTCAAGTTCCTCCACCTCAAATTCGCTCATCCATGCCTTTATGGACCTTGTTTTATGCACTGGTGCGCAGTCATGTTGGAACAGGAAAGGGCCATCCCCAAATTGTTCCCACAAGGTTGGGAGCATGAAATATTCCGAAATGTCTTGGTATGCGGATGCCTTTAGAGTTCCCTTCACTGGAACTAAAGGGTCAAGCCCAACCCCTGAAAAACAACCCCACACCATAATCCCCCTCCACCAAACTTTACACTTGGCATAATTCACAAAGGCAAGTACCGTTCTCTTGGCAACCGCCAAACCCAAACATGTCCATTGGATTGCCAGACAGAGAAGCTTGATTCGTCACTCCAGAGGACACATCTCCACTGCTCTAGAGTCCAATGGCAGTGTACTTTACACCAGCCAATGCTTTGCATTACACTTGGTGATGTAAGGCTTAGATGCAGCTGCTCGGCCATGGAAACCCATTCCATGAAGCTCTCTGAAACTTTGAAGCTAACCTAAAGGCCACATAAAGTTTGGAGGTCTTTAGCTATTGAGAGTTGGTCACGTCTGTGCACTGTAGCATGTGCTTACCCCGCTCTGTCATTTTAAGTGGCCTACCACTTGGTGGCTGAGTTGCTGTTGCTCTCAGTTGCTTCCACTTTGTTATAATACCACTAACGATTAACCGTGGAATATTTAGTAGCAAGGAAATTTCACGAATGGACTTATTGCACAGGTGGCAACCTATCACAGTACCACGCTTGAATTCACTGAGCTCCTGAGAGCGACCCATTTTTCACAAATGTTTGTAGAAACAGTCTGCATGCCTAGGTGCTTGATTTTATACACCTGTGGCCATGGAGGTGATTGGAACACCTGAATCCAATGATTTGGTGGGGTGTCCCAATACTTTTGGCAATATAGTGTAAGTTCCACTGACACCATTGATCCTTTTGCTGTTCGTAAGAGGGTAAGTCTTCCCCATGTCCACAAATGTGAGAATCATTCTTCCCACTAACCATCATACTAATGTATCATGAGTTGTGTATATATAGTAACTTTTGGAACAGTTTCACTGAGATGGGAAGGTTATTTCAGGGGTTCCTCTGTGTTGAAAATCTTGAGAAAGACTGCTGTAGGGTGTCCACTTTCATAAAATATATAATATTTTAAGTACACTTCAGGCCTAAAATTATTTTTTAATGTGTACAAAAATGCAAAAAACCACTCTGGAAGTGAAAAGGTTTAACCCTAAAATAAATATAATGTAGACTAACGTTGCCACCATCAGACAAGGTGCCTGCAAGTATTTTGTGTTATTAATTCCAGTGTCTTTGTGGAGCTACTTTGGTTCTATGCCAACACTGTACAGAAGGCCTCAACGTCTTTCCAAGTGGAAATTAGGCCCCTTTCTTTCTTGGTGATAGTGCTACCACTTGTCATCCAACTGTCAGATGCCAGAGTCTGTAGTTCACATTAAATCTGTCATTTGACAGATTAATGAGAAGGATGGGACTTAGCACTGGTAAAGACATTAAATGTCTCTTAGACTGGTTGCTTGGTTATGCCTATTATCTTGGAGATGTCTTTCTTGCACCCACCTATGAATGCCATGGGTGTGATTCATTTGGACCCACCATGAGCTCCAGCAGCTGCAGTATTTGCATTCCGGAATTCCCTATAGGTAATTTCTCAGCATTGCCAGAACACATTTAAAGCTGAGCTCCAAGAATTATATATTGCATAGTCACTTTGGTCCAGCTTGGCATTCTGTAACTGGATGTGGTAGAGATCATGACATCACCGCCCTGCCTCTCCACCTCCTCCATTCAGAGAAAGTCTTGTGCGCATTGATAAAATACAAGGCATTCTGTGAATGGTGGCAGTGCCGAGCAAGTGACCTCTGTCTTCACTATGCAGAAAGGCAGCTGCTTGGCACAGATCCCAGTAGACTGAAGTGATCACTGTAGTAGCACTGACTGCTATAGTGATTCTCTGCTTCCATAGTGGTCCCACAGGTATGGAATATATATATACTTACTATTATCCAAACTGGACCAATGTAACTATGCAATTAAAACCTTTTCTAAAGTTCAGCTTTAATATGACCCTAAATAACACAGGATGTTAGAAGATGCTAATTAAATGTTTTGATAAGAAAACATGGTTACGCTAATAGATAAAGAGTTTTTAATTTGCCTTTAAGACCTGACTATAAGCCACTCAGTTTAGCAAACAAATGACCTATCTTGTCAAGCCAGAAGGTGCAGCATATGATTAGCTGTCTAGGTGTACATCAGTGACATTCTTTAGAAATTTATGCAGAACAGTCACACTTGTAAAAAAAAAAATCTTCACTTATACTCGTCACATTACAGAGAGACTTTCTCCAGGTGAAATCACTTTCCTTTTAAACCTGCAGGTCTTTTATGTTCTACTCCTTCTATAGTTTTATTCAATATCATGTAACACTTTAGGCTCAGATATGCTGTAACAGGCTGGCATAGCCTATTGCCACCCATGTCCTTTGCAGAGCTGATCACTGGAAGGGTTAACAGTCTACAGGGCGGAGGTATATCAACAGGTCCAGTGACGACATGGGATGATACAGTTTCCATTCTCTGTCTCTTTGATACAATTTTGGTTGTTACCTCCAGGACTTCTGACGCCCTAGACACTCTGCAGTGGAGATTCAGGACAACATGATGCAGCAAGGCCCTGTTGTGTGGGCAAAGGTATGGACAAATATATGCTAACCTGGGGTTTGGCATAGAAGGGGTTAATCACCTGCAAAGAAAAAAACGATTGAGCAAATTTATGCAGCCCTTTGGCAAGTAAAGTAGCACAATAATTAATGTTATTGCATAGTAATATGCAGGTAGAGTTGATTTATTAAGTGCAGGTCCATAGATAAAAAAAAAAACGTATAGAAAATGAATTAGGTAATTGCTTTTGTTCATTGGGCACTAAATGTTCTGCAGGACAACAGTATTGGGTAGTAGTTTTGCAGATTAAATATTGGACAGTTTGAGATAGCTGCATGTGGGTTGTAGAGATATTATGGAGAATATTGTAGGTGAGGTACTCTTTGAATTGAGACAAAAGCACATTTGTTATTTAGCATTTTGCAGCTCACACAATTTTTTTTGTATAAAATAGCTTCAGGCAGAAAGAGATTTATAAAAGATACTTAACAAGCTCCTTAATGGTGACATTCTATGCACAACTTCTTACTTTACAGTATACATGAGATAATTACATGGTTGTAACATAGAAGTCTGTAAAAGCTCTATACATGGCATGAAACATATAATATCAGAGCCTGTATCGGAATAAAATGTATTCGTATCCAAGGGATTACTCATTTTCCCATATCATCCTACATATTATACAAGACAGCACAAGAGCTAATTAAGCTTTGTGGGTGATAAAAGCAGGAATCCATTTCATAGTTAGGATCCAGAACTTTCATGCACAGAGTTCTACTTTTGTAAATTAGACAATGACAAGTGACAAGATAAAGCATATTTACATGTGTGATGGTTTCCAACTTTTTTAAAAAGTTGAATATCTACAACTGTTTAACAAATAGAAAGTGATTTTAGGTTATCCACAGAAAATATGAACAAAACGATTATTTTGTAGGTAGAAATAAAAGGTCAATTCATGAAAAAGTGATATTTTAGCAATAAGTGGAGCCTGGATGGCTTTGTCACGCCCTGAGTTTTCATATGTTTTGGACACATCAACATTGAGATCTCCCTGCCATAATTCCTCACTTTGTTCTTGTACATCTGGGAGTTTTTGATGTTCCTGCCAACCTTTACATGTTTCAGCTCCTCCTGTTGCTTTTTCTATCATATCAAATGATTAAACCCCTAATAATGGTCACAGCAGGTGTGCAGAACCAGGAACTCAAGAACAGAGATCTCATTAACAAAGCCATGCAAGATAAAAGGAAACTATTGGATGGTTCCAATCTCCAGCATTTACATAGACTGAAATATTGGTTTTGGGTAGAATGGCCCTTCAAAAGGAGATAAAGATGAAGGTATGTTTGAGGAACAAATTTCCCAAAGTTCTCATCCTTTAGAACAGGGGTCTCCAAACTTTTCAAACAAAGGGTCAGTTTACTGTCCTTCAGACTTTAGGGGGACTGGATTGTGGATGGTGGGCTAGAAAATGTTCTGGATCCACCATCAGTGCGAATAAACATGATCTCAGGGTTGGCGATCAGTAGGAGGAGGAGTAGTGCCCCATTCTTGGTATTAGTTGGAGGAATAGTGCCCTGTCATTGGTATCAGTGGAAGAAATAGTGCCCCATTGTTGGTGTCAGGAGGAGGAATACTGCCTCATTTGATTGGGAGGAAAAGTGCCCAAAGGGCTGGATAAAGGCCAGCAAAGGGCTGCAGTTTGGAGACCACTGCTTTAGCATAATAGGCAACATAGAGAACATGAGCCTGGTGGCATAGTTCTTATTATGTTTTACTGTGCATGAGTCTTGCTGCAGATTGTGTACAGTTTTATGTCTATTCAAATAAAAACTATCCTTTGGTATCACATTGTATTTTATACCTTAAAAGTTCCTTAATCTTTTATTTCCTATATTTTGCTTCTACTTAGTATATTGGTACTGTTATACACATAGATACATAGCTTGAACAATCCTAGGTCCATATACACTCCTTATTGCAATTAGAATGGCTATTTAACATAAATAATTCTAAACTGATACTTTAAAAGCTAACTAGAATGGGTTTTTTATGACTTTAGTGGGGATGTTAGGGCAAAGCTACAGGCAGTTGTAACCATAGACTGCTTAGATCTTTAGCCACTTCTTGGCAGCCAGTTTCACTGCTGTACCTTGATGTGTTGCTAATGAGCTGATTGCCAGCAAGAGGCTACATTGCTAAATAGCATGAGATTAAAATCACCCATGTAGTTTAGCCCTGACACTGTGCTTCACTGGGCGTGGGACTACCTTGATTGTTCTGTGTACTCTGGGGCAATATGCCAGTGTTATATAAATATAGGAGAAAGTAACAAAACTATAATGAAAACTATTCCAAACCATATTGAGCGATAGCCCATATTCATTTTCATTATGCCATACTAAAAAAAAGTGTCATTTCTATGGGTTAGTCTACCAGTTTGATACTGTTGGAGCACGGGAAGTGACAGTTATGGTGTAAATCAAACTCTGTTCCATGTTCCTGTTCTGACACTTGCAATTTCTGGTGCTCCTCCATCTATCTCCTTCAGATGTTGGGATCATATAGATCTAGGGGTAATTTTCTGAGCGCTGAAGAGATGGAAGTGCAGGCCAGGAGTCCTGGATGATGCTGACACCAGGCACCAGGTCTTTCAAGTGGGCAGGATTGCAAGATAGGATTGTCTGACCATTCACTGAGGGATTGACTCCGCTATACCCATTTATTCTACAATAGTCAAGAACAAATTAAATCTGTTGCACACAATGCAAGTGCCACACAACTGTAAAATTGTGCAACAGATTTTTATTGGCCATCTTAGCCTGCACGCTACATGTTTATCTCCGTCATTCCACCAACCCCAACTAGTAGGGAGTGCCTTCAAAAAGAATTACCATCTCGAACAATGAGAAGCATCTAACTTTACTGACACTGACCTTTTTTAAAAAATGTGGGTCACAATCATTATATATAGGAATAATATGGGCCTTAAAGGAGAAGTACAACCAACGCTTTTTTGGCTGTACGGCAGTGCAATTCATTTCTGCACTCCTGTGACCCAATTTCAGCTGACAGCAAACTAAACTCAGCTGGTCTAGGATGGGGAAAGATCCC